CGGATAAGCCATTGTTGTCTCCGCTGTCGAAAACCAAACTGAGCTGCGCTTGTTTCTGCTGAATAAAAATGGTAGCAAATTGTTTTTCTTTGTTGATTACACAAGTTGTAAGTGATTTGCAGATTATCTGAAGGATAAAATGATTTCTTCCGTGATAGAAAATTGACGAGCTATTGGAAGGCTTAAAACAGTCACTTTTTGATGGAGGAAAAAACTTTGCCATAAGTATCTATGCCATGGAGTACATAAAAGAGCCCACTCTTCGCCGCGCCCGGGAAAAGAAAAGGTTCGCTTTTTCTATCCATGCTCAACTTTCCCCACGACGTGTCTCAGCTTACCCCGCCCATGGGGTAAGATGAGCAACGTGCAAGATGATTTTTGACGTAGCCTTTCCAGTACAAAAATAAGCGGTATGAACATTTCTGGCCACCATTACATGCGCAAATCACCGCTGTCCGTCCAACCCGTAAACGCAGAAAAATGATCAGTAAGTTAGCCTGTAGCTTATGAAAAACAAAAAGCGGCTCAACTTACCTCATTCCCCCCTACGTAACACATTTGAGAGCATTTTTAGGCCATCACAGTATTTGTCAACAATTGTTGTTTGGGGGACTGGGGAGGGTGGTTACTGGCTCATAATCTGTCCCCCCCCCCCAAAAAAAAAAGAAGAAAGAAAACGAAATCGATCATCCGCGAAAAGAACTATTGAGCTCGAACCAAGATGACGAATCGATTTATAGGTATGCAGGATGACTAACGATGCCACTTTTTGACTTCTTGTGTCAAATAAATTCCATCATCTGGATAGCACGTCAACATTCTATTTGACATTTTGCAACAAACGTATACTATTTGGCGCGACTAGCCTCATAAATGTTCTGAAACTAAACCGTTTCTTCGCAATTAACTTGAACCACGTCATCCCAGCTTATGCACGACAAAAATAAAATAATGCTTCAGGATCAGTGGCCTGAATTCCAATGCTTAAAGTTTACTCAAAACCGGTGTGGCTGAGGCACTCTTCGCTACATCCCGTGACGGCCACCATTGTGTTGCATTTTTCGGTAAGCTATAAGTTAATAAGGAAAGGATTGGTGAGTGGGTTGAAACAGCCCTCACCCTCCACCCCCCCCACCCCCCTCCTTCTTCTGGAAACATAAGTAACCGAAAGATCTGGCGATGGTTTATCCACCTCCTCTGCCGCCGCGCTGCGAGGCCGAGGCCTCGATTCGTTCGGTATGTGGCTTCCTGAGCGGTCCTCCCCGGAGGCAAGGTGAAAGGTCATGGCCTGTATCAGAAATTTATACGTTGCTGAATATGTTTTATAGTTCTTCCAAGGCCTTGGACACCGTTTTATTATATCGGATAAGCATTGCAATTTCTTGTCAATCAATACATCTAAAGAAAACTTTATCATAATCTCATACTGCGGCAATTGTAGTTCTGCTTACGGTTGCCTCTTTATGATACGGGCCACCACCACCTCCACTGCGCTGGAGCTCTGGCGTTCTACCCCTCCCCGCTACGGACCGGCCCTCGGGCTAGGTGTGTTAGTACTGAGCGCAAACCTGTAGTAGTCACGTGGCTTTCATTCACGTAGCGGGAACGGAAGCTATAGGCGATACCAAGGACGGGCTCTGGGGAGGCAACCGGAGCGGAAAAATAGCACGATAGTAGTTTTGGAAGAATATCTGTTGTGGTAAGAGGAATTATACAAAACATACGTCCTAGGAGCAAACATGTGTTATTCCTCCATACTTTGCACTACATTTCCTTTCTCCAATGGCCAGCACTTGGCAAATAATAGCGCAATTCTAAATTGGTAATATATGTGTACAGTAGCAACTGCGGGTCCCTGTACCTTATGGGGCAAATCTTGCGCATCTTTTGATAAAAAAAATTTGACCGGGTCATGTGAGGTCACGGAGTTATGACGTCACAAAGGGAACAGCCTCCGGCCGGATTTTCACAAACTGAGTGCCAACGCCCGAGGTTTCCTGCCGGTGGTACGGACATCGGTTGATGGATCGTGATGAAACTTCCCATGCATGTTGGGGCAAGTATTGGCTATCATATGGTATAAGAAACTTGACCGGGTCAGGTCAGGTCACGGAGCTATGACGTCACAAGAGGAACAGCGTCCGGTATTATTTTTGAAAAGCGCCCGAACCACTATTTTGCTAATTCTTGTCACCTCAATGGGAATATGCAGCAATATTAGCTTCTATAGAGAGCAAATGGACATCCCAAATCCAAAAATGCAATCAGATTTCAAAAATTTAAATTTTGATTTTTCGAATTTCTGCCGCCGACTGTGACCTTGCCGACTTCCGGCGCTCCCAACGCGCCATTTTTATAGCTAGGGAAACGAAATACATACCAAACGATAGAGAATTGATCAAGGAACACGATAGTGAAGGTTTCAAGTCGATATCTCCCACCGTTTTGCCGCAATCGCCGCGGAAAACTTGAAAAAGTCTATTTTTCCGAAAATTTGACCTTTGACCGGTCAAAAGTAGGTCAAATGTTGACCTAGGACCAAAAAATATACCACCAATCGCGAGATCTCGGCGAGAGCAATCCGTTGGTCTTTTCCGCTAAGCTCTACGACGCTCCGTTTTCAAACGCCAAGGGGGGGGGGTCGCACCAACCCCCCCCCCCCCTGCATGGGCGAAGGTGGCAGATCGCCGTTTACGGGCGAGGGTTAAACCCAGGGTGTTCTGAAATATGTTCAAAAACTTCTATATGATTATTAATGCATTGGGTGAGCCAAAATCGTTTTACAGTGGCGCTATTAAAACAAGCTCTCGAACTGATTTGACATCATTCCTTGCATATGCCTGATGGCTACAGTCAAAAAGAACAGCTGAAAAAAATTAACTACGAAAAATATGGCATGCCTTTCTGAAAGCTATTGAGCACCCCCAATGATTTTTGGAAAACTAGACCCATGGTGTTTTGGTCACTGTAAATGTATCGCTTAGTGAAAATGTTTATGAAAAGTCATAAGAATTGTTATCGGATACATTTCAGGCAATACAAAATCACGTGCATCAATGGTGGTTGGCCTTTTAATCCATTTTCAGTTGGGTTTACAAACTATTGTTTAGGAGGCATAACACCAAATGATTAGTTTTGGTGTCGCTTCGTCGACCGTAAATTGTAGAGCCAAATGGAGATGCATGCCACAAGTCATGCCTGTAATCCGTATGTGTCCTCGATAATGCTTATACAAGTTGTCCAAACCAATACAAAGAATTCCCATCGAAAGAAATTGGGCCAACGCAATCCCATGGTCCTCAATTTTCATCACCAAATTGTCATCACCAATCGATCGGCGCTCGTCACTGGTCCATGCCTCCTCGAGTCACCGTCCAGCACTGCGCACGACGCGGTCCACAGCGCTCGTTAGGTTAACGGTCTCATGGGACGGCCGCCGCCGTCGACGCCGCCGCTGACTCCTCACGCTCACGTCCGCCGCCGGCCGAGCCTGAAGTTCTATGGTCAACGCTGACGCAGCTAGGGCGAATAGTTTCGCACTCTCATGGTGCGCGGTGACACGTGGGTGAGCCATGAGGGTCGCGGGTTGAGTCGCTTGAGTTGCGGGCTCAGCCGGCTGAGCTGACCGGGATGAGTGATGACCAAAAGTTTGTAAATTATTAGGTACAGTGTATTACCAGTCAAGATGTAGAATAGGACTCTATTGATATCTTATTCTCACTAAACTTGACCGGTTCGGTCCCACCCTCTAAACAAACAACCCAAACGATGAACAACACGCCCCAGCTCTTATCGCACCCCAATTAAATCGCATCAAACTTGTTCAAACTCCGAAACCCGACCATTCCCGGGTCTACGACCGAAACCAGTTAAATTCTAACCCGACCCAGGGTACATCTCGATCTAACATGACCGATAACAGACGACCCCTCATCGGTCCAAGTTCTCGTGTCTTCAGACCCTGTCTGACAAGTTAGCTAGGGAGTGAGGTTCATGTCAACCCTACCATTTAACCCAGCAAATACCGGCCATTTTTCTTCTAAATATAAATGCAATGATAGTGAATAAGCGTGACCTACTGTGTGCTTTTGTGTATGTTTATATTGAGTTCAGGCGATGACCGGTGCGGCCAAACTAAAGACGGCTTTAGATTAACCGCGGTTGACTTATTGATGGATTCAGAATCTGCTTTTAGACAGTGTTGAATCGCTTATACGTCCCCAGTTGACAATGTTGTCCGATGCATACTGTTTGTTCATAGGGTTGTAAACAAAAAAGCGCAGTCATTCCTGGCTGTTAAAGCAGCGACCACGGGTAAAAGATCAACGCTAAAAACATTCACCAAACCTAGTATTGGATGTTTTGAGTCGACATATTCTGGACCAAAATGGTCTTCAAAGACCCCCGTAGATGATGAATACTCAGTGGTGACTTCCTGACGAATATTTCCTGAATCTATATGCCATTATTTCCCCAGACACTTCCGCTGCTCACAACTCAATACCGGAATAACTCGTGTATTCCCGACCGCACCAAGCTAACGGTGTCGGACGTTCCAGGATAAGAATTCCGACAAAAACCTCCTCAGCTGCTCGTCAACTTCCCACCCAAATTCTCCACCTGGCCCTCCAGCTGCCGGTGATCGTTTTATGAGCCGTTGGAAGGCAACCCTCCCTCCCAGAGTTACCAGTCATCTTTACGACTCAGCGGACCGCCTCCGGCGCGTTTCGGCACTACCTACCGAACATTGACCTCGATGCATTGCAAACAGGAGGTAGCGTTGCATCTGCTGCACGTGGGTCGTAACTGCAATTAGCTGCCGGGCCTCTCCCGCTGCCCTAATTCACCTCGCATCAATTTGAGAACCGATGCACCCTGCACCGATACGGCGTGCACCGATTCGTCTCGCACCGATGCGTTTTGCAACGATTTGTCACGCCTGTTGCCCCAATTCGACTCGCCTTTGCACCCGGATTCGTCGAGCTTCTTATCTCACTCACCTGTTTGACCCATGCTGTGATTTGGCCGTTCCTTTTGCAGTCTGTATCCCTTCCTCGGCGCTTGACCCGCGCTGTTCATCAATGGAGCCCACTTTCCGTGTGTGATAGGGCTGTGACACAGGCCAACCTTGTCTATATGACCTCACGTAGATTATACTAAGCAGTGAACACCCGATAAGAAACGCCAGCGGAAGCAGTCTCCGCAAATCGCGGGGCAAACGACGAACGGCCACCATTGTCACGAAGAGGTCACGAGCGTGACGGTCGCCGTCCCGGTGCGTCACGACGGATGACACCAGATAACGGCTCGTCACGCTAGCGAAACAAACGTCACACGAGTCACTTCAAGCTGTTTGGAGACACGGTGCGGGCATCTCACTGCCAATGACCTTCCGTTCAGTTTTTGTGGGACGTTTAACACGCAAAAACCAAGGCCGGATGATCACGCACCGCACTTCTTCACACGTGTAGTTCTGACCACCAATCCTCCTACCCACTCCTTACGAGCTTCTTTTCCAAAAATATTCACCAACGTACAATCTTCCAGTCAAAGTTTACACGACAGCCCCCACACGTGAACTTGTGGAGCGTTCTCGACACACGGAACTAGCGCTCCAGAGGTGCGACCGCGCCGCCGACTGCTGTTCGACTGAACACACGGCACCGCACGAGGCAGCGGCCGGCTGGCGGTCGGCTCGACGCCTGGAGTGACCGCTGGGGCGTTCCACGACAAATCGACAAGTGCCCTGCACCCTCATATTTTATTTTTCGTTGAAAACTGGTGTAAAGGGTTGTGATGGGCGGGGAAGCCAGCTGTGGCAAGGATTTTTTCTTGGAACAACGGTTTCCGAGATATAGCCTCGGGCAATTCCTGGAGGTCGCGCTGCAGCCCTATGTTTGGCGGCCTATAACTCAAAAACTATTGGATTTCTACGATAAAACTTTATATGGTTCAACTCACAATCAACCAACAAACATTTTGGCTATCTCGGATTTTCAATTTTTGAAAATTTTGATCACGTGACCTTTTGACCTATTTTTCGAAGAGTGACCTTGATATTTTCCCCACTGAAAGTTGCAATTTTGTCTGATGACGATTAAAGCCTTATCAATTGTCATTCATATGCGAAAATAAAAAAAGTGGATATCGCCCTGCTTTGACCTCAGGTCAGGTCATTTTTATGGCCTGTCCATTATTACGAGCGGGAGCGACAGCGAGATCTCGAGAATAAAGCAAGATAGCGACAAGCGGTAAACGGTGCAGGGTACACACGGATAAGGTCTATAATATTTACTGAGGTCATTTTCAGGTCAGGTCAAAGATGACGTCACAGGAGCAAAAAGGAAGTCAAAATTGCGGCACTACATACATATGAAGTTTTTCTCGAATAACTTTCAAGGTATCCCAGCTAGGAACAAACTAATAGCACCATCGTGATCCTCTCGTCGATCCGCATCGAAACATATGTATGTTGACCTCGAAAGGTCGAAAGGTCAAAAGTTGACCTTCGGTCACGTGACCTAAGGTCAACTTTTGACCTTTCGACCTTTTGAGGTCAACATACATATGTTTCGATGCGGATCGACGAGGGCATCACGATGGTGATATTAGTTTGTTCCTAGCTGGGATACCTTGAAAGTTATTCGAGAAAAACTTCATATATATGTATTGACTTCCTTTTTGCTCCTGTGACGTCATCTTTGACCTGACCTGAAAATGACCTCAGTAAAAATTATAGACCTTATCCGTGTGTACCCTGCACCGTTTACCGCTTGTCGCTATCTTGCTTAATTCTCGAGATCTCGCTGTCGCTCCCGCTCGTCACGTGACCTAAGGTCAACTTTTGACCTTTCGACCTTTCGAGGTCAACATACATATGTTTCGATGCGGATCGACGAGAGGATCACGATGGTGCTATTAGTTTGTTCCTAGCTGGGATACCTCGAAAGTTATTCGAGAAAAACTTCATATAGATGTAGTGCCGCAATTTTGACTTCCTTTTTGCTCCTGTGACGTCATCTTTGACCTGACCTGAAAATGACCTCAGTAAATATTATAGACCTTATCCGTGTGTACCCTGCACCGTTTACCGCTTGTCGCTATCTTGCTTTATTCTCGAGATCTCGCTGTCGCTCCCGCTCGTAATAATGGACTGGCCATAAAAATGACCTGACCTGAGGTCAAAGCAGGGCGATATCCACTTTTTTTATTTTCGCATATGAATGACAATTGATAAGGCTTTAATCGTCATCAGACAAAATTGCAACTTTCAGTGGGGAAAATATCAAGGTCACTCTTAGAAAAATAGGTCAAAAGGTCACGTGATCTAAATTTTCAAAAATTGAAAATCCGAGATAGCCAAAATGTTTGTTAGTTGATTGTGAGTTGAACCATATTCAGTTTTTATAGTAGAAATCCAATAGTTTTTGAGTTATAGGCCGCCAAACATAGGGCTGCAGCGCGACCTCCAGGAATTGCCCGAGGCTATATCTCGGAAACCGTTGTTCCAAGAAAAAAATCCTTGCCACAGCTGGCTTTCCCGCCCATCAGAACCCCTTACACCAGTTTTCAACGAAAAATAAAATATGAGGGTGCAAATTTAATTTTTTATTTGTCGATTTGTCGTGGAACGCCCCCGCTGCCTTCTGGCCAATACCGAGCAGCCGCAGCGGTGTGCTGATTCGCTGTTCCGCTGTCTGCTGAGGTAGTATGTAGGCATGCTTGTCCCTCGGGCAATGGGTGCAGAGTGTGAAGAGCAGCCAGACGAGGCCCTAAATGCACAGCGAGATGGGGTCAGGGTAGGTCGTGAAGGATGTAGCTTTGTTATCGTCTCAGCAGGCAAAAGTTGGGAGTCTGCTGAATGAGTGATATACAGTCCCCGGTGGGATGGGATGGCTTTATTTTGCAAATGAGCGTTGCTCAAGAAAATCAATAAGTACAGATCATATCCGTTTACTCGTCTCCATCCTAGACCATTCTCTCTCGTGATTCGAACAGAGCAATCACCGGTGGTCGGAACAGAAGTAAACAAAAGCCACCGGAATGCCTCAGTTGCACCTCAGTCCTCAGGTATAGCCGGGTGATCGGGGTGAACGTTAGCGAAGCCCGTTGGCCTGTCCTCAGGAAGGAGAGGAGGAGTGTGGCACTGCCTTCTCAATCAATGATTTCGAGATTTTACAAAGAAGTTACCAAGAAATCGACCTTAGATTATTAGAGTCTCTGTACATCTACAAACGTAAACCAAAACTGAACGCCAAAAACTCCGCCCTGCCACTCAATATAGTGGTTTGAGTGACCTGCGTGTCACATAGCAGAGGCGGTCAGAGACAATTGTCAGGTGATTAGGGAAATGTGTAGCGCGAATTGGTGTACTTGTTTCTTGTTACGAATGTGCATAAGTGAGGTGTAAGTGTTACGAATGTGCATAATTGCGATCTATGTACGTGTGTGTATGTGCGATACTGATGTGTGCATGTTGTGTGAACCAGATTTAACATCACAAGGGCCAACCGGCATTCGTGATTGTTGTTAATACATGATACATGATACATGATACATGAGAGGGTCGCGAAGGACAGGACAAGGGAAGAACAAGGACAGGAATAACACTAGTTGGTATAGTTGTACCTCAGTCCAATGTTTAGCCCTTGATCAATTATCTAATCATGCTTTGACAATCAAATTGCTTATAAAGGTCAAGTTACACGGGACACTTTTTCGGTTTTTGATTTTTCGGTTTTTCGCTTTTTCGGCTCGATTTATCGCTTTTTCGCGTCGGTTTTTCGCTTTTTCGATTTATCGCTTCATGACTTGAGTTTTTCGAGTTTCGTTGATTTTTGTTTAGTTGGAACGCGCTGTGCAACCGCCAGCTCTTTTTATTTTGTTTGCAACCAGTGCAATGCTTTGGTCGCAGTTTTGCTTGGGGCTTTAGGGGTCTGTTTTGTTGTCTGTTTAAACAGATGGGAATTATTTAAACTAGATTTCGTCTGTTTTGTAGTAAGAAACTGGCTTGACTAAATTTCCAGCAGCTCAGCTACTAACCGGCGCCCCGCTGGGACTCCTGGATTTCCACGCCCTGCTGGTAGGGGGAACAATGGAACATCCCTTCTAACTTGGCTCCTGAGCCACGTAGCGACACGCCGTAGGTGACACTTGAAAGAGCTAAAAAATAAGGAACAAACTGCTTCGGCCATTTTTAGGTCAGGTGTAGGCCAAAGGGCAGGTCACCAAAGGTCATCGAAGGTAAAATGTCCCCAATATCTATAGGTCAAACTTCGACAATATTCGACAAATCGGTTCATAGCTCAGGAATGGATAGAGCTATAGCGCCGCGGAGAGGCGCAATCAAACGTTCTTTTAACGTTCTTTCGCTAGCATGTCCTCAGATTTGACGTAAGGTCCACCGTTTATCCTGCAGGGGCATGAACGTCCAAAATTTACGATTCTGCAAAAACAGTTTTTTTTTTCCGCAATAACTTTTGGCTCTAAACTTGCACGAGCTTTCCTTCACCAGAAACGTGTTTCTCTGGTCGAGACGCATCGAATGAACCTTAAGCTAACTGGACTGGTCTAGGTCATGACCTGGCCGGAAAGTTCGTGATGCATATCAGTCGATTTGTATCTTCCAGTGGAACACATCGAATGTGTTTTCATCGCTCTATAGTAGCATGCCTTTATCGAAATTCATTACCGAAAACTGTGCATACCTTTCGCGACCTGATATGACCTCAGGGCATAACAAGGGGTCACGGGTGCCATATTCCGGTTCATTGCGTCATGTGTACCTACTTGCATAGGCGTAGGAACGGTGTGCCTACATTGGACACACCGTAACAACGATGAGCCGTGGATCACAATGCATCTCCAGGACGGTGCACCTTTGCGACACATGCAGCACTAGGCACAGCATGGAGCTCGCGCGAGACATGATGGTGAAAAACACATCTGTCTTAGCAGTTAGCACGATGTTCGAACAGGAAGAAGCTGCAGGCTCTGGAGGCCGTGTATATTCGTGACAGTTGAGTGATCCCTGGATCAACACGCAAATGAACTTGCGTGGTTCGCTGACGGTGTTTGATTCGGCGCCTCTTAGAGCCCGGATCTAGATTCCCTAGACTCTAGCCACCTTGGACCTTGGTCCTGAAATTTTCATAACATGTGTAAAAAAGGTGCTTGATAAGGTGTGCCAAAAACAGTGGCGCGAAACATCACCTTTTTTTAGATATTAGCGAAAAACTGCAGTCCCCTAGCAGGGCGCGGCTAGAAGCATGATCAACATGTTTTACAAAAGATGAAATAAATACGTGCATATTGTTGTATTATGGTCCAACCCCCGCACGGCTGCTGGCCGCGCCTGCGCGCGCCCCTGCCGCCGCCACCGCTGGCCGCCCCGGCTCCGTGCCTGTGAGCGCCTCTGCCGCCGCCAGCTGACTGTGCGCGCCGAGCGGCAGAGCTGGCGCGGGCGACTAGGCGCGGCGCTCGCCATACTTGTTTACTTTTTGGACACTCTTTCGGCCTGAACGTATCGCAGTAAATAAATCGCGTTTTTCATTGATCGTGTGCTCTTTCACTCAAACGAACCAAAACATAACATGGCGCGGTCGATTTTGTAATTACGTGACTGAGCAGCTTACAGCGCGATGAAGAAAATTTTGATTCAAGAACTGACGGCGCTGCTGGAGAGGCAGGCGGAGAGAGCCGCCGAGGCCGACAAGCGCCTGGAGCGTTTGGAGAGGCTGCTGTACAGAGAGCCCTCCGCGGGGACCGGGACGGGCACGACGGCCGGAGTGTCAGAGTCGGGGGCTGAGCGAGGCGCTGAGGGATCCGTTGGACCAGCTGCCGCCGCCCGCCGGACTGTCTGCCTGCCGGCGTCGGCGACTCCGGCCCCGCACCTGAAGTCGGCCTCGACGTACAAAGCCCGTGTCGAGTGCAGTGTGCGCGACAGTGAGACAGGAGCGGTGAGCAGGCTGGAGGACTCTGAGCCGACGCTCAGACACGCCGTGACAGTGAGGGAAACGTGGAGTGCCCATGTCACGTGCCAAGACCTCTGCGGCACCAAGGGACATTTCGTGGCCCACCTGCCGGCCTACAAGAGGGACCGAAGGCGGCCGAGTGTCGCCCATGCCGCCGCCGAAACATCTCGTCAGTTTCTTGAGCGTTGCCCTACCTGTGGTCGTCGCCAGCACGCCGGCGGAGACACGTGTCGCGCCGCTGGCGCCATCTGTCGTGCGTGTGGCGAACCAGGACATTTTGAGGTGGTGTGCCACCAGAGGGCCAGCACCACAGCGGTGGTGCCATCTGCAGTGACAACAGTACGCGACTCTCCGGGGGTGGCGCTAGTAGCGGTAGCCGCCGGCACCGCCGTGTCACCGCCGCCGGCGGACACGGGCCCAGCCGGGCACACTGCGCTGCAGCCCACGGGGCTGAGTGACGCTGCTGACGTCCACGGAGCCTCGCCGCCGCCGGCGGGGGGCTGGCCAACGCAGACAACGGACAGCAATGAAGCCCCGGACAACGCCGTGTCACCGCCGCCGGCGGACACGGGCCGAATCGGATGTGCTGCGGAGCAGCCCACAGAGCCGGACGGAGCTACGGGCGCCTACGGAGCCTCGCCGCCGCCGGCGGGAGGCATTCCAACGTGCAGCACGGACGGAGTGTACGGAGCCTCGCCGCCGCCGGCGGGAGGCCAATCGGTTGCCACCGGCGCCGCCGTGTCGGTGCCGCCGGCAGACACGGGCCGAGGAGCCGGCCGTACCGCGGCGCAGCCCACCGAGCCGGCTGGCGCGCGCGGAGCCTGCCCGCCGCCGGCGGGAGGCTGGCCAGCACAGACCATGGAGGCAGCCCCCGGCGTGTCACCGCCGCAGGCGGACACGGACCGAGCTGGATGTACCACGGCGCAGCCTACAGAGCCGGCTGACGCCCACGGAGCTTCGTCGTCGCCGACGGGAAGCCTTCCAACGCGGACCAGCCATGGAAACGAAGCCGCTGGTGACGCCGTGTTGCCGCCGCCGGCGGACACGGGCCAACCCGGGGCCACTGCGGTGCAGCCTGCAGGCCCGGATGCAGCGGCTGTAGCTTACGGAGCCTCGTCGCCGCCGGCGGGAGGCCTACAAACACTGAGCACGGGCCGATGTGCAGCTGCCGGCCCCGCCGTGTCACCGCCGCCGGCGGACACTGGCCAGATTGGGTGCACCGCAGCGCAGTCTACCAGGCCGGCTGCCGCCTACGGAGCCTCGCCGCCGCCGGCGGGAGGCCTACCCACGCGGACCAGGGACGGAGGTACAGTCGCCGGCTACGCCGTGTCGCCGCTGCCGGGGGACACCAGCCAAGCCGACTGTTGTGCGGCACAACCCATCGAGCTGAGTAAGACTACTGACGTCTACGGAGCCTCGCCGCCGCCGGCGGGAGGCATGCCAACTCGAAGCACGGATGGAGGCCCAGCCGCCAGCACCGCCGAGTCGCCGCCGCCGGCGGGCACCGGCCAAGCCGGCTGTAGTCATGCGGCGCAGCCTACCGAGCTGGCTGACGCCTACGGAGCCTCGCCGCCGCTGGCGGGAGGCCTGCCAGTACGGAGTGGGGACGGAGACCCGCCCGAACAAATGGTAGCGGCTCACGCCGCCGCGCAGCTCCTCCATACGCCGCAGGGATGCGTGTCCGCCGGTGACAAGTCCGACCGGCGCGGTGACACGAACCTCGGTGACACCACCCTCCACTCGGTCGAGGTGGTGGATGACCTGCTCAGTCCGACCGTCGATGACGAGGTGTGGGAGGACGCTGAGGACCCGCTTCACGCAGCTGCCGTCGCAGCTATGCTCGCTGAGCGGGATACGGAGTGCGACTCGCGTCTGCCGCCGCTCGTGGCCCCGAGTCCAGGGGTGACCAGAGCCGCCGCTGACCGCGACCCGTGGCCGCCACCGACACCGGAGCGACGCCTGCCGCGGACCTCCCCGTGCGACGGCGGGCGCGTCCGCTGCAAGAAGCGCCCGAGACGCCGCGGAAGAGAGCGCAGGCGCCGCCGTCTGCACCGCGCTGCGGTGGCCTTGTGCGCCCGGACCCCGGAGGGTCCGCTGTGGCGCCTTGGAGTGAAGACGATGTGATCGTCTTGGGGGGGAGGTGTTGTATTATGGTCCAACCCCCGCACGGCTGCTGGCCGCGCCTGCGCGCGCCCCTGCCGCCGCCACCGCTGGCCGCCCCGGCTCCGTGCCTGTGAGCGCCTCTGCCGCCGCCAGCTGACTGTGCGCGCCGAGCGGCAGAGCTGGCGCGGGCGACTAGGCGCGGCGCTCGCCATACTTGTTTACTTTTTGGACACTCTTTCGGCCTGAACGTATCGCAGTAAATAAATCGCGTTTTTCATTGATCGTGTGCTCTTTCACTCAAACGAACCAAAACATAACACATATATCTCGCATACTTAACCGCTATTCAATCCTTTCACGTGGATAATATGTGCATGCCTACATCGAAATACTTGAGCGATTACATTCCTTCCTTTCCATTATAGGAGTACCGAAATGTGAATCGTCGGAAACATGCATCAGTATTACCACATCGTCACGTGCTGAAGCCGAAAAACTCAAAATTACTTGGAAAAGCTGATTGTCGATCCAAACTTTTGGGTTGGACGAGTCGCTTCGTTTTTTCGCTTTTTCGCTTTTTAGAGTCGCTTTTTCGCTTTTTAGAGTCGTTTTTTCGATTTTTCGCGTCGCTTTTTCGAGTTGCTGATTTCGTTTTTTCGGTTTCGCTGCCGTGGAGCTACACCAATGTTACCAAGTGAAGCTGATCGTCTACTGAAGCCGAAAAAGCGAAAAAAACGAAACGAAAAACCGAAAAAGTGTGCCGTGGAGCCTGTACTTTAGACCAAAAGCCCCAATAAAGGAAAAGTGTTAGGACCTTTACTCGTACGGGACATAACACCCAAGTCTTCACTCTTGCCCTTATACCCACAAAAAAATGATTATAATAAATCAAAACCAATATGAGATAGAACAAAGACAGGGTACAAGAAACAGAATACCGTATTACGCCATCGACAGAAGTTTCATCGATATTTTCGCTCTACTTCTCAGCCCAAAAAGCGATCAGTGTCATTCAGCCCGAAACCCAGATCGCATACCCAAACATGTAGTAACGGTAATCAGTAAGCAGCTTTCGTCGCCGCTCGTCGTTACAAGTTTCTGACATGCCGAATAACGTAATGAATACAAATGAGACGTCGGGAGGTCGTCAGCTCCATAGACTCCCACTGTGCACCTCAGGGAGACAGGAGCGGCTTAGAGTGGTCTATAAATAGCGCAGGAGTCGGAGACGGAGTCAATCGGAGTCGACAGTTCTACCCGTAGTCAGAATCGAAGTCGTTGAAAATCCATCGACTCGGCAGCCCCGCGCAGGAGTAGGAATACAGGTTATCAGTCTCTTCTGGATGAACCTCTGACCTCGTGTGAAACTAAGGACGGCACCTCTTGGTGAAAGGGACTCGGGCCCAGTGATTAACCCAGTGCCATGGGTGGAGAACCTACCCCGGCCACCCCGGCCATGGCCGGGGTAACTTTCAGCCGACCCCGGCGCGGCCGGGGTAACTTTTTCCACTTTTGTAAATCCTAAAAGCTGTCTCCACACGAAAAAAACTGCCATCTATAAAAGTGTCTCTCATTATTCTTATCTACCTTGAAAAGTTTTTGAAAATTTACTTTATTTTCATTTTGGAGCTTCTATGTTTTTAAGTCTTTTCATCGCGGAGCCCGACATGTTTCATCAAACAGAAGTAAATCATATTTAAGGGCCGTTATCGTAAGATGGCACTGTAATAACATCACAAGACAGGACGAGGGTAATATGTATCAGTGAGATAGAAGGACGAGCTGCTGGGGCTCAAGACTCCCCCAACTTAAAGGTAGTGTGCCACCTTTGAAAGATTTCCCATTTTATTTTTCCTAGGATAAGAAGCTTCTGTTTTTACCTAATATCGCAAAAAAAAATCAAAAATGGGCCTGGAATAGTGCCTTTTTCGCCTAAAAGTTTTTCGGTTTTTAGATATGTATAACAACTGTAGTGGGCTCACCTGCAAACAGGCGTCGGGCAACAATCGCGAATGCGGCGCACTTGTGACAATAAGCAAAGGTCATTATAGTGTTACGACCATACGACGTACGGGAATGAGTTATCAGCTGTCTAATCGTAGACAACACAATGTCGAGCCTTAAACTGTAAGCCCGTATTGGTATTGTTTCTTTTATTTGGCTGTCGAACATTATTTATGGTTTGAAATATGATTTTATGTAAAATAATTGATATGAAAAAGCCGTCTTATAAGTTATGACCCCATTTCACCACACGCAAGTGGCAGAAATGACAATGATCAGCTGACGCATTTTTCTTGGCCGAAGTCAGAGCGCGCGGCCCGACGCACCACGCGTATTTGGAAATTCCGACCTCGACGAGCATCAGAAGCCACCTAACAGGCGTGTTCGAAACCGCAGGAGATGATGATGAACGGGTTTATCGAAACATGATTGGATGAGCATATCGGTAATAGCGATTTCAGTGTGTGCATTTATTGTTCATAGTGGTGTGAAATGTGGTTGGGGTACGACCGACAACCCGTCGGGGCGAATTTCGCACTGGGGTACTCAAAATTTGAAGAATTTAAGACGTTTCCATGAGTTTTGAAGGTATGGATAAGTTCTAAAAATCCGGTTCTCCTTATCTGGGCCATTAACTCCATACGGTCCAAGAAAGCTGGCACACTACCTTTAACCCGCGCCAGGGTGGTGGCCTAATCGTAACACGTTGAGTCGAGAGGTGGGCTTTTCACACTCCTTCTAACTCGGCTACTGGGCTACGAGGCGAGAAGCGGAACGACGTTTGAAAGAACGACAAACGTGACCAGATAAATCTGGTCATGTTTTAGGGAAGCTCAATAATAAAATCACCATAGATCATCAAAAGCCAAATTTCTCTGATTTTAGCGTTCTCCGACAACTTTTCTCACAGTTCATGAACATAACGGAGCTTAAACACTGCAAACAAAACATTCGATTACTCGTTTAAGGCTCGGTCGCGAATAATATTTCAGGTGCGAGCTCAAATCAATAAGAGGGTCAAAACGGTCAAATTTGACATTTTGTTTTGTGTGGGAAGGTTGCAACTTCCACAGAATAAGATTTGCAAAGGACATGATGGATTTTTAGCACGATCATCCATCAAATTTGACCTGATTACCTGACCTAGCACTAGGTGACATGCGTCCGAAATTTTAAGGCGTGTTGCAAAATTGTTGTTACAATTACGAAATCTTCCGCACCTGCGTGCAGCAGTTTTCAATAAAAACGTACGCAGACATCCATTATTCTATGCCACAGAATAGGGGTTTGTTGATAACCGTTGACAAATATTTGAGCATCATCGTCTTTCTGACTTTCGGTCGCCGGCCGGGGTAACTTTTTCAAACATTCTCCACCCGTGCCCAGTGCTGAAGGCCCAGCGGAGGAGGGCAGGGTGAAAAGGTCTCGAGATAATGGCTTCAGAGGATAGAGAAACGGAGCGAATAAACTGGGCGAAATATTGGGCGACATCACTGTAAAATTTCGAATTTAAGTTGCCCAATGGATTTAAGAACCTAAAATGGATCTATAATACACACATGTAGGTATCGAGGATGATACGTAAGACATTTCCTAACTAATTAAGAGCTTTATGTATCCTGTAGGCTAGAAGGGCATGCTGACCACTGGTCACGTTGCCATATCCATGCGAAATGAATCCCACTTACCGCTCGTGCTCAGCACAGCGTCAACGTCTCACAAGTGTCGCTCAGGTTTCAGGTGACACAGTGTGTGCAAAATGAAAGCTACGATGTGTTTCAGTCACTGCATGTCGAGACGGTAAGTAAAGTCAAACTTTGTTGAGCAAACTTCCTCGACCGCGAAACTCGGAGAATTCTAATGAGGCAAATGTAAATGGCACCAAGATTACTTTACTACTCAGGTTGGTTCACTAGGGAAATAAAGGCGCCGTGGTGACGTCACGGATTTGGTAGCAATCTGGTAGCAATTTTTGCAGACATCAATGGCGCACGTGTTGTTTGATCGTCGCCAATACTATTTTACTGCACTATTTTGTTATTTCACTGCAATGTATTGTACATTACATTTGAAAATTAAAAATAAAGAAATATTCGTAACCCAGCAAGTCAGTTATTCTTTGAGGCAGCACTCTGTCAGCATTGAGCCTCCAGAATGTGTTATTTGATAGACTTTCCCACATTTTCTACTCTTGTGGAAAACTTTCTTAGTCATCAAAAATGTATGCACATATGAATAATTAGAACTTCATTTTCAAAGTTTTATAGAAAGAAGATTTCACATTACATTATCATAAGGCTACCTGTCCATTTCGTCCAACCAATTAAATATTCATCCAGCAGAAGGCAGGTACCTCTGAGAAGGTACTGATATCTCTTATCTACTGTATATACACCAATATTTCAGGAAAATGACAGAGACTGAGAAGCTATTAAAACTTCAGCGTATGAAAGGGATGTTATGGCTTATGCACATTGAAAAACATCAGATAATGCTTTTGAACCATCTCATTCACCAGCACACATCAATCCGGCTCCTGGCTTCTGTCAAGGAAACATTCCAAAATAATGCATTATTTTATTTCATTGACCACCTTGCAAAAGACAAACAGCAAACACATCACCACCAAAAACAAAAATAGTCAACAGGTAGGTACCAGCTGATCTAGCCGTGCTGTGTCATGTGCCTTTGAAAAACTTGAGCAGTCAGGGTTGAATAAACACCCCAAACTTAGCCATTCATGCATGAACAAGTGCAAATTCTGGTCGAGCATTTAAATAGAAATGAAACTAACAGCATTGTAGGTTACAATTATAAAAAAGACAATTACAAAAAAAACAGCAGAGCTTACTCTACAAGGCATAACCATTAATTTTATAACTGACATCCAAATTCGCATCTCTGAAGTTAAACCCACCTACCAGCCACCTGCACATTTCTGCGCACATGTGCTGCGCAGTGTGCACAGTCACTACACATTACACAATTATGAGAATTAAAATAGTTTTAAACAATCA